TATGCCCATAATTGCCACGTAGCTGAGCTTCTGAACTGCTCAGGCGGCCTACTTGTGCATTCATATGCCCTGCAGGTGCTATGACAGCTGAACTCGCAGCATTGCTCAGTAGCGTGTTCAGTTCGTCCTTGGCATCATTAGAACTGTAGTCGGTGGGGGGCATAGGAGGAAACTGCAAGCAACCAGCGTCTTCTATCACTTCGTGGATCAGCTTTAGTTCATGTCGTCAAACGAGCGACACACAAACGACTGCTCAGGGGAATCCAATCAAACAACGACGGCTCAGGCTTGGAACTGAGCATGATGCCTACCCCAGCTTGACGCGTGAGTGCTGCATCAGAGTCTTTAGAGGTATGCAACCAGCAGCAAGAGGACAAGCGGGACAAGCGATGATCATTGATCCTACTTCCAAACACACACACGTCAATACTCCGTGGGTCCAATGTACGTGCGATTGCAGTCTCTTGACCTACTTGCCTTAGAGTGCGAACGTTGAACGCCGCCAGGGAAACAGGACAACGCGGCGTTATAAGATATTGCTGCTAATATGCATCCGGTGGATAATGCGGGAAGTTGACCGCAACCCAGTGGCATTTCGGTTGTTGTCAATTAGCTGGGAATTACTGAAGGAAGTTCAATAATGGGGGCCGGGATTGGAATATGAGAAACAGGTGGAAACGGAAGGAGGCGCCAGCAGTAGCATGTTTTCGCTTATCCGCCCTGACGTATTCAGCAGATAACGCGACCCTTGATACTATACGTGGCGGCCGATACACAAGAGGAGTGTGAACTCCGGTTCTAGAGACACACCGAATATCGAACCAAGTATAGCTTGTGCGCGTACCAGTGCGAGTATTGAAGGTGTCGGATTCTGGGTAGCGTAGGTCAACAAGGAGCGTCGGGTCATTGGTGACTGTTAGATACTCTGGTGAAGAGAACCTAGATGATCAAGTTTCATCAGTGCCATGGCAATCGTCACCGATGTTGGCATTCACGGCCGAAAAAATGATTAATGTAGATCGGGCAAGCTGGATGTGTTTAGGGTAAGAGGGAGAATATGTTAGTAGAGTTTAACGAAACAACTTCTCAGATAGGCTGCCAAAGAAAAGCACGTATGCCCGCCAATCAGGAATCAGTACAATTATCTAAACGAAGGGCTTGCTTTCGTAAGCATTATCAGAACAGCCTAGCCAAAGTTACACCAAATGCTAAACACTTAATGAACTTGACCATCTACGCAGTGGTCAGTAGCACATCGTCTGCTTAGGATAAGTGACATCAACCGCCAACATTGCAGAAATTTGGTTCATATCACAACAATTTAGCCGGTGCGCTCTATGAAATGTGTCGATAATTACAGCAATGAGTAGGATCTAGAAAACTGCAAGTTACACGGCCAATAGTTTACCTTAACATGCAACATTTGCAAGCTAGCGGAATATGCAAGTTCTCAGATTCCCTAGCGACAACGTCCTGGACGGGCAGCACTCGATTCACTCACGTTGTGAAAGTCGAGGTAGTAAAAAACCGGACTGACCTCATACAGTTCAGCGAGAAGTGTACAAGTGTGTAAAAGGTACAAATCCTGATAACCAGCTCGAGATGTTATGAAAGATGGGAGATATCCGGACAGTCGTTGACGCACTGATAATCGAAGGTAAAAATACTGCGTCCCTTTGTGTACACTTGATAGGCAGTGGCACTGCTACGTTATGGAATCTAGGAAATGAGTTATTGTGTCATGAGAAGATTCGTCGCAGCTAGACTTAGCCAGCCATTCACCATACATCCAAGAAAGCGCTAGGTGGCCGGTTCGTCTTCTTGAGACACATAAGTAGCGCTCACTCGCCGAATCCTTTAGGATTCGTAGTCATGAGTTTACTCTTACGAGTCAGTGACTAGTGCCATTAAGCCGCTGGTGACGGCGGCGGATCACCATGACTGGTTTCTAACTGCGACATACCGCGGTTCACGGTTGTCATGATCTCGCAATGGACAGCGCTGACCCCCAGCGAGCCAGCAGATGCGCGCTACCGAGCAGTCCCAACCAGATGAAACGGCCGGTTAGTGTATTTCCGGATGTGTGATGGATATCTGGCTTAGTCTAACTGCGATGATTCTTCTCAGAAAACTAGTATTTTTCTGCATGATGCAGGAGAATAAATCAAATCGGCTCTAATATTAACATAGTACAGTCCGTCGAATGTTGAAGCGTTTGTCATTCGCACTCGTCAAGTATATAGCCAAATAAGGAGAATCATTATGCTTGTGATCAATGCCCTTACTCAGTAGAGGCTGTGAAACTTCACAAATGCAGCACTGTTAGTCACGCTAAAGCAGATACCACCTATCCTATTGAACTATAGATAACCGATCGTTCCAGCCTACCGTGGATCCTCAGTTAAAAACGACCGAGAGTGTAGCATCTGGATTGTTTTGATATTTTATGTCAATAGTAACAGACGAAGCCCATGTCATCGCTAGCTACTTGGTAATACGGCGTGGAAGGTTGGGCCACCAGAGTACGACCATAGACTGTAGTGAACATGGTGACAGGGAACCCACCTCACCGTAACCTTATGGTAAGTCGCCCTCATCCATGGAATAGGGTCAAAACTGTTTGGATGCGGGTTGTGGGCTCATTTCTGGGGGATAAGAGGTGTAGGTGCGTTGCTGATGGTCTTGAACAATGGAAAACAACCATCAAGCGCTAGTCGGAATATATTCCCGTAGCCTAAAGGTAACGAGCTCGTCTTCTACTCTGACGGCTCGGGTTCGAGCCTGCGTAGGGATAGGGCGACCCACGCAGTATCCTTGGCCCACGTCCGACCGGTGGTGGTTGTGTGTCGCCAAAGCGTCGGTACGCAGTACCGACGTAGTGTTGATGCCTTTCCTTTTTTCTTTTTCGAACATAGGTATGTCAATTTCAGCGTCATCCTCTACAAGTGCGCTCATGGTGCTCATTGCGTAAGTTGTGTTGCCTGATTCCGTCGAAAATGCCTCCTCCAACCACTATTGATTTACCGGACTTCACCACACCAATAATCCGCAGGGGAGGACTGACTGATCTATCCTTCATGCAACATCAGCCAGTGTTGATAGAAACACCGTCAAACAACGATACCTTCACCTGTAAACGTAGTATAGTATAGGCACCCGCTTGCGAGAGGACTTGGATGGTCACAACTGTGGACAGATTTCATGCGGAGAAAGGACCAGACGCTAAAGTCCTCGTGGTATGTTATGGTTGCGTAAGCTGCTATTAGTGTTGTAGTATATGCCCATGATATATACTTCTTACCAGCTCAAGATTAACCGAGAATCATGAGATGGAACGATGTACCAAGCTGACAACACGTTTACATTCCTAACCAGCAGAAGTTGCGAATAAGAGCGTATAAGGTAAGATATCGTGGAGGCATCTGATGTAAGTCTTGCAAGTCGCAGTTAATTAACGGTGGGGTTGAAGAAGAACATATTGGTGTTAAAGTCAGACTGAAAAGAACGGTAGCACTCTCTACTCTTACTACCCACCAGACTGAAAAAGCAGCTAAGAAAGCGAACCGGTACCACGGCCTTCTTCGCAGAGCCTTCGGAAAGTCTGACCCTTCGATCTTTCCAAAAATGCTTAGTGCGTACGTGAGGCCGCACGCGGAATACGCTATCCAAACGTGGCAATCCTGGCTCAACCACCATCTCACCGCGCTCGATACTGCACAACGTAGTGCAACGAAGAACTTCAGAGGTTTGACCAGCCTCCCCTACCCACTCAGGCTGAAGACCCGCAAAATATACAGTGGAAGTTATCGGCGTCTAAGGGGCGATCTCATAATGGTGTACCAGATCCTGAGAAACCCCAACCACTCATGCCATTCCCTTCTAACACTCAGTCAAAACTCCTCGCTAAGAGGTCACCAGTTTAAGTTAGTCACGCAGTACAGCCACTTGGAATGTCGGCGAAACTATTTCTCCCTTCGATTGGCACAGCCTTGGAACGCCCTCCCGGAACATGTAATTAATGCACCCACCCTATCCCTTTTCAAAAAACGCCTTGACTATACCCTGTCACATTTACACTACGTGCTATAGCTCATGACCACCAGATGCCGGCACTAATGCACAACAGATAGGGGATAGTCCCATAACCTTACTCAGGTATGAGTCATTCCAAACGCCTTGCACGAAATTTGATAAACGCTACTACTATAGAAACTGGATTTCTGTATCCTGTCGACCCAAGATAGTTGCACACGAGTAAGCGTTATTCTTGCTATCTTTTGTATCTTTCCCGCCTATGATGTGAACAATAACCACTCCTCTGTTGCTTTGTGTGCGTACATTCTCATTTCATACTCCCTTTATACGACAGTGCAGTTACATCAGTAAGCGCCTGAACTGACGACTCCATTATCGCTTCGCTATCTTTTTTTGTCACGCTAAACACCCTACGGGACATATCAAGCACCTGCTGTTTTACCCGTTATAAATTGTTCATTGTTCATCGGTTCGGCATGCAACCTTCCGAGAGAGGTATCCAGCAAGGCACTCACGACAAACTCCTTATTTCGCATTCAGCTTAACAAGTCGATTCGTGAGTAGTCAAATGTAAATATCCTATAGGCACTCAAGACATCCTTCTATATATGTAGCGTCCATTGTAAAACCGGTGGATAGATGCTCTCTTGGCCAATCAGAGCTTAACAAAGACAACGTCCGGTAACTCATAGGAAACTGACTAGATAACTAGGTGAAAATTCAAGTGAGCTCCGTAGTGTATCACGTCAATACCAAGTGCCTTGTATTAGGGCAAGACAAATAATTTGTCCAACTTCGAACAAGCGTCGATTATCAATTATACTGCAACTGTGTATGCAGTAGATAAGTGTGGGTTGTAGTGCCAATACGTGGTAAAACCTTAACATAAAAATGCTACATTAGTATGGCATGAGATGGCTTCCCAAGAGCAGTATTTTATGCATGAACTCTGAAACACCTTTTGATCACGGTACTGAGAAGCGGAACTGGCAGAATATAGCACAAAAATGAAATCCGAAGGAAGTAACGCTCACTTGTATACTCAAAGACATTTCCACAAAGCAAAGTGATATAGATCCAGGGAAAAACAATGGAGAAAGGCATTCAACTTTCTCGTCTGCTTGATTGCATGTGACTTCGTGGAGTTGGGATAACCGGTCAAAGAGGCGAGTGACGTAATTTAAATGCCATAGGACAGTGGAGCCCAGCTGATGGTAGGAGCCGTCCAGTGGAGCTTGTGTGGCCGATACGTTAGGTAACGAGACAGATTGGAGCTGTAGACCAAACACTGCGTCGGTAGAATCTTCATTGCAAGCACCTTCTTCCATGGGCTTTGAACAATCAAGAAAGGCAAATGATTCCCATAAATCTGTCAGCGTGTCAGATTTACCAGGCTTTCCGTTTTCTGCCTTCGATTTAATCATTGAATTCGTAACAAACTGTGAGGATAGTCCGTTTTTCCGTAAAGAACTCAACTTAGCGACAGCAGAGTTTCTTTTCCCGAAGGTGGGTTGCTGTATACTACTTTGCAGCTTCAGAAGCACGCATCTTAATGGCTAAAATAGAGCAGAAGGAACGAGTTTCTTGTAACTAGTGTATCCATACTGGCCAACGAGACCACTGGGAGCAAACGGTGACGGGAAACATTTCGTGCAAAAACTACACACGGCTAGATAATAAAGTCAGATGTATATCGTCAATGTCCGGTCCCCGAATTTTGAGTACAATTAGTCGGCGTGTGCCCGCATACTCCAAAGGGTAATTTACTCTAAACCATCGGCAAGCTGTTAATGTGTTGCAGACTGGAATCTACAAACCATGGGGACTGCGGGGATTAGAGAAAGTAAGGTAGTTCAGCTATCACAAGCTTCCCAATGAAAACCACTAATGATAAGGTGAAACGCGTGACAGCAAATCAAGGCAGTGAGAAAGCCCAATGGTTGTGGATGCAGACGGAAAAGTCGAAATATGAAATTCTCTTCATATTCCAGAGAGGAATACCACAACCCCCAGATTGAGAGATGACGGTGTGATTTGCTCATTCTATTCAATCATGTATATTGAACTAACAAACGGTTAATGTGTTGCAGACTGGAATCTACAAACCATGGGGACTGCGGGGATTAGAGAAAGTAAGGTAGTTCAACTATCACAAGCTTCCCGATGAAAACCACTAATGAGAAGGTGAAACGCGTGACAGCAAATCAAGGCAATGAGAAAGCCCAATGGTTGTGGATGCAGACGCAAAAGTCGAAATATGAAATTCTCTTCATATTTCCAGAGAGGAATACCACAACCCCCAGATTGAGAGATGACGGTGTGATTTGCTCATTCTATTCAATCATGTATATTGAACCAAAGAAACATATACCAAATGAAATCGATTGATGTCCACTCGATAGACTGGTGTGTCACATGCTAGTACGGTAATCTTAGCGCCACTATCAGCTGATTTAATACAGTGCCGGTGCGCTCTCTCTCTCTCTCTCTCGATAACAATGACCTTAATGATCATGAGAATGGGAGGTGTTGGATTGCGCAAGAGTTCTGCGAACGATGCATCAGGGCTGACCCAGTGATCAGTAGTTAGCAAATGCTCAGTGCTTGCTAAAGGAACTTGGCTTTTAGATTCATCATGTGCAGCCGCCAAATGCCCAATCGGATTGCAGAAAAACAGTAAGCGAAAGCAGCAGCAGTACGAGGTATTGACACTTTGCTGCCAGCAAACTCGCATCAGTCACCCATTGGCTAAGGATATTGTGTAGGTTACCTGGTACTCTATGCAACCTAGAAACCGCGACCTCCGCATTGTAAGGCAGAGGCCATTTCCTTACCGCCATGGCCGGCAATCCGTTTATGAAGACATTTTGGAACATAGCCATGGATCGAGCAGCTAGATTACATTAGTAAGCACAGTATTCCTTTTCTCCCACCTGTATGTGGATTTATCTACAGAGCTGGACGTGTACCGCATCGATAAAGAGGTTATTGAAAGCTCGAGCAGTGGCCTTATGGAAAATAGAAATTGGACAACAAGTTCGTTTTACGCATTCGTCATGGAAACAGTTATATCTCTCGAAATGACATTAAGGCTGTGGTTAACTTCGAATGGCAAATAAACTAAGACCGGATAATGGACCATTCTAGGAGGGCTTGAAAGGTAGCTCACCCGATAGCGCCTGGATTCAGTTTGTTGGACGCTACCGCAATCTAATCGCAACTGCTTCGGAAACAAAGAGGGTCAGCTCCACCAATCTCACGTCTTTCTTCAGAAGTAGAACTCGCAAGCGCATGCCAATAAGGAACGCAGCTTGCCACACTTACAGAGCTCGTCCTCGTCCCGAAACCCAACGCAACCACTCTAATATGCTTGTACGTGAGGATAAATTGACTCACCAACAACATTTGGTCTTTAAATTTGCCAGGGACAAAAAGCTTCAATACAAGCATGTTAACACCATCCGGAAAGTGAAGCTCGATATGTCCCCACTTAACACGCCAGTCGGAGTGGCACAAAGTGTCGAAGAGTCATCCAACCCACTACGCATGCAGTATGCCCCAACCTTCCAAAAAGATATCCGCCAGTGTCACATACCCACATCCTTATCCCAAACTTCAACACTCACTAACATTGATTTTACTGCCACAGCTGTGTTGAAGAAATGGCTGTCACTACGCACCGATAACTCTCCCGAAATCGATTAGCTTCATCCAAGGGCGCTGAATGTAGCAGCAACAACGCTGACCGGGCCATTATCGCATTTCTTTCAAACATGCTTGCATAAACAAATTGTGCCCACCATGTGGAAACATGGTGTATTCACTGCGACTACAAAAGCGGTAATCGCGCGGAACACGCCAACAATCGCCCAGTGGTCCCACTGCCTGTGCTCTCAAAGGGGATTGAGGCGATCATCGCTGAGCCTTTAGTAGACCACCTAGAACGCCACAACATCATAGCACCCCAGCAACACGGTTTCCACCAGCACCGTTCATGCACTACCAACCTACTGATTGCACGTAGCAGTTGAACCGAAGCGGCCGATGAAGGCAGAGGGATAGAGGTCATTTACCTCGAATTCTCCAAAGCCTTTGGCAGATTGGACCACCGCATACTGCTTCCCAGACTCGAAAGTTATGGAGTTGGTGATCCTGTCGCCGGGTGGATCAGGAATTTCCTACAGCATCGGCAACTGCAGGTCCGAGTTCGGAGTGTGCTCTCCGATCCGATTTATGTCGAATGTGGAGTTCCACAATAATCAGTTCTGGAGCCGCGTATGTCCTCGTGTTCATTAACGAGCCTGCGCGTTTGATCACTTCAGATTTCCTGCTGTTCGCTGAAGGTCTTATGATGTGGCGGATGATCGCCGACCCAACAGATCACGATGCACTTCAGAGAGACTTGGACAGAGCGTATGGGTGGTCACTGCACAATCTGCTCCAGTCCAATTCGGGGAAGTGTAAGGTGGTTCACATTCGCCAACAGCCGAACATCAAATACAAGTTTGGAGATCATGTCCTGCAAGCAGTCACCCAGGTGCCGGACATTGGGGTACTAGTTCAGGCTGATCTGGGCTGCTCAGTATATCTGAGAAGGCGTCAAAGATCGGGAACCAACGCGTTAGCATGCTGCGGAGGGCATTTGGGCGGTTTGATCCCTCTGTCTGTTCGTAGTTGCTTAACACCTACGTGCGGCCTCATGTGAAATACGCGATGCAGTTGTGGCCGCCTTGGCACAAACAAAACATTGCAGCGCTCGAATCTACACAGCGACGAGCCACGAAGCACGTCAAATAGTTATTCAACCTACCTTATCAACTTAAACTGAGGACCATTAAATTTACAATGACCAGTACCGGCGCCTACGTGGCGACCTTAGTATTGCCTAACATATTCTAAGGAACCCCAACCACGTCTATTATCACCTACTAAAACAGCCACAACACGAACTTGAGCGGCCACCAGTACAAGTTAGCCACGCAATACAGTCGGTTAGAATGTCGACGGAACTTATACTCTCTCCGTGTGTGTCAGCCTTGGAACGCCCTCCCAAATTACGTTGTTCCCGCCCCCACTTTAGCTGTGTTTGTAAAACGGCTTGACCTGGCCTTAGCCCACCAACACTACGAGATATAGGCTGTATGTCTTGACGGGCGGTATAATGTGACGAACGTTGCCTAATCGGACTTAACCTACACAACTGTGGTTGGCTCTTTCTGCGCACCTCAGTGTTAACACTGTGGTGAGTCGACCAAAATGATTTGCATTTTATTCCATTGTTTTTTATTCACCATGTTGTGGTTCTCTTTTTGGCCATCCTACGGGACTTGCTTCGCATCCGCAATTTGCCGGTTATATACCACTGTTTCCTCGCAACTCTTTATTATTCTTCTGACCTAGAAGTCGACGACATTGACGACCCATGGGTTCCAGCCGTCGAGTTTTTATGGTGCTGCGTACAGCTTAACAAGGGCGATACACCTTCAGTGGCCATTGTGCACACTACTTCTCTTTGCGAATCTGCCGACCGTGGAATGCTCTGCCGGCCGATTTAGTCTTGGCACCCACTGTGGCGGACTTTAAGGCCCGCTTGGACTGTCATCTGGCCGAGCTACACCGCGATATTCCCTAATTTAACTACATTCTACTGGATGGAATTTCTTTTTTTTCTTCCACCTTCCTTTCCAAAGCCGTTTCAGAGGGCGTGGTGGGATGTCTCGCTTTGAGCCGGCGTGCATTCTGTTTAAATGCCACATAAGCCCGATGAAGATACGGCTAACACGCGAGTCCAACCCGCTATAAGGTTGCTTGGCCTTTCATTAAACCCGACCCGAACTCTTTTTACCCTATGGGTCATGTAAAGCTCCAGCTTTTATTCCCATTAAATACAATGTTCCAATGTTCCAATGTACCCAGCTTGGTCACGTCAAGTCAGGAAATCGTTTTTATGCACCCACGAATGGTGAATTTTCAGCTGTAACACACTCTCGATCGAAACGGTAAAGCGAACAACACTGTAACCTTACAATGTGCTCCTGGAAGTATGATTCCCTTTGGCAGTGAAAGCAGCCTAATTAAAGCTTATGGATTTGTTGCAAGCCAGTCATGAGGCGATAACAGCTTTGTGGCGATAGCAATACGGCGCCCATACCAAGACCGGGCATCACATCCGGCTAGGCAGTTTTTCTCAATTGCTAGCACAGCGAACCACAAACCGCCTCGCGGGGAACCCATTTTGCTGATATTTTCATTTGGATGAAGGTCAACTACCGACTGATGGATGCACAACATGTTCAGTGCGGCTGTGGTGTCTGGCGCATGTACAGTTCTCACAACCGAACGGCTTGGATTGAGGAGTACTACGGCGAGGAACGAAGACTCCAAAAGAAAACGGTTGAACTGACGTTGTCTGCTTGGTTGAACATGGACTTGTTGACTGGATTGGAGCGACGTACTGCGAATGTGTGTGTGTGTGTGTTGAAACTGGAAGACAAGCGACTATTCAAGCGATGTGGGGGAGGGCGAAGAATTGGGCGAATGAAAACGGGGGGTGGGAAGTGAAGTTGGAACAGAACGATAAGAATGAAAAAGTGTAAGAAGACGGGAAGGCCTGAGAAGTAGCGTCCAAACCCCTATCCACCCTGCTCGTTGCAGCAGATAGGGGGCCGTTTGTTATCCTCTGTAGCGGCCAGAGCATTACGAAGTTGTTAGAAAGAAAAGCTGTGGCGTTGTAGTGCGTGCGCAGGATACTGTCAGGTTGCCCAGGCCTAGACAGGAGAACGATTGGGGTTCCCAACCAAAAATTTTGGTTCGAAACCCTACCGCAAGGCAGCGGGGTTTTGGCACTGAACTAGAGAGAGCCTGTTTTGTAAAGTAAGGTGCCATCCTCATTCCAACCCCCAACTTGGAGCACCAGGAGGCTGAGTTTGTCAGGCCTCTAACCATTGACCAATCTGGTATGAGTGTCTCTGAAGGTGCAAAAAAGCACCACCCAACATAGCTCATTGGATCATGTTAAGATCCAATCTCATCTGAGTATCACAGCCCCGGGAAGTCCAACTTAATGCACATAATTAATATCCCACCCGACCGCTATTCAAAAGACGAGTTGACGACGCGCTGACACAGGAACACTGTGATATGGCTTGTGATCTTCAGGTGATATCAGTAGTATAGAACAAACCTTGAAATGAACCAGGCTCTACTTACACTCTTGGCAGCAGTACTCAGATCGGTACTACTGCAAACCTCTCGGTATGTCCTGTAACATGCGCGTCAGTGTATTACCACTCTTTGTATCTGACGATTTTTACCCAAAACCTTCTGCAGGACTTATCAAACATTTGCTTTTTCACACGTTATAAACCACTGTTCCCTTGGTCCACCAGTGGGAAGCTCGTAAAATATGGTAACCCGTCCTGGTCAGTTTGGGTTGACTTTTATCGTGAGAGCAGTATTTCGGAACATCTGTTGCGCTTGTCAGATGAATATGCTGACACAACGCTATTAACTGCATTGATTGCACCCGAAAGGTCTTTAGCTGACGGGGGGGCTTTAAATCGGCCCTGCAGTTTTCACTGAATATCGTTTTTTGCAATATCGCTCTGGATACACTAGTTTTCACAGAATACTTCAACATTTATCTTTGTCAAACTATTTTCTAGGTCGACACTGCTGTCTTTTGCCTACTTTTTGCGAATAACTCATGATACTGCGCATTTGATGATAAATCGTCCCGATTGGAAATCTAGCCTGCAACGCAGGCCTCCCAACAGATTATTCCATTCGGAAAGGTTAATTTGTCGCTAGTTTATACTGATCGTTTGTTCAACCGACACCTGTACACAGTGGCCTCTTCCCATTCATACATATGTGAAGTTCTGATATGTCATTTTAGCTCATCTGTAGTCGATATTGTAAAGTGCTGATAGTGTACCCATCTGGATACGTAAACCTTATTTTGCCTTGACTTGACTTGAATCCATGGCCGTCATCAGATCATTAGGATAGAATGTATATAAGTTTACCGACTTGATGGCGTCTTTCAATTCCTGTTCGGTTATAGCCATTTCTATTCTGCGGTATGATTAGCACTGTTAGAACTTGTGGTGAGAAATATGCTGAAATTTGTTGCAGTCGTCCGAGTAAGTATCTATAGTTCCATAGTCGGAAATCATATTGGTGACCGGAGAACACCGCGCTGTCTTACCTCTGCTTTCGTCAATCACTCGACTCTGTGAGCGTAATGGGTCCTCTCTGGTTGCGAGTTCTGGTGACCGGATAAACGTCTCGTGCCGATCTGCTTGATCCACTTATGCTCGTCGGAGTACCGATGGAATGGAGCTGCGCCGAGTACTCATCTTGTGCATAGGTTTAAGTTCGGCCGTTCTTTCATATTCGGACTCTGTTGTATCTAATCTATTATATTTGGCCGCCAAGCACTACAGCAGCCGACCGCAGGTAAATCATCTATATTTTCCACTTTCCATTCTAGTTTAGACCCCATTTCTTGACAGTCCATAATCAGTAGTTTGATGTTGCTCAATGCGGTATTCTTCACAATTTTACCAATTAAGAGTTTTATGCTGTGGCATATATGTCTGGGGACTATATCCAAGGTGCACCCATACGGCGGTTGTCAAGACACTTACTCCGGTACCTCTCTACTGCCTAGTGTCATATTTCCATCATGAGACACTACCTAAAGGTTAGTAGCATAGATCAATTCTTGGTGGTTAACAGCGCATCCTCTGAAGTTGACAGCTCGCATAAGCGAAGGGTGTCCAATTCACTTGGCTACCAATCCTTACCACCAAAATGATGCCAGATGCCAAATAATTTGCAAATACCTCGCGTTTCAGTCACTGTTGTAAGTGATAACTAACAAACTAACGGGAACATAAACATTCGCTGGAGACCGTTCAAAATCCACTACTAAAATTTTATTTCGTATCATATACTGAAATTGTATGATATATATATATATATAATACAAGTATTTTAGCAACCTGGAAGTAATCAATGAGTACGCGGGGATTGGAATAGGACGTTGAAAAATCAACTAGTTGTCCTGTTGATTTCAAGAAGAAATGCTATCTTAGCAGTATACGTTGCGTAACATACCTGCCACAAACTCTATGGGTGAGCGGAATGAAATTGGTTACGTGTGGCTGCGATAAGGTGCAATGACAAGCCTTGACAATGTATACTGCACTGCGTTGGTACTTGTGTGTAGCCAATTTCAGAGGCATAGCATATCGGTTAGTGCAAAGCAATCAGGTCTTTTCCGCTATGTAACCGAAAGGTGATGGACACCACTATGTACACTCCATGGGGAACCTATCACTCAATGATAGGCTGAATACCAGGACTTTTCTGATGGAGGCAATGCAACATCAAACTTCCTTCATCCTGAATCCTGGCGTTCTCAATGAGAACATGGTTGCAGTAATCGATTGATACTAAGTTTAATGTATTGCACTAATAAAGGTCGTGTTGGTCACATTGAACATACACCAAAAAGGTTTTGGGTTGGCCGTTAGGTTACATTACGTCTAGAAAGATTCTGCAGGTAGCCTGTATGAAGCTGCCGGGATATCCATTAAGTTGGCGATGGGATCAGGCATGAACGTCAAGTCAGAAGAGGGACGGAACCGGTTTAGATAATCACATGGTGGTAACTCCACCACTTTACCGGAGTTGAGCAGATTTCTTTCGCAAAAGTTAGGTGCGCTCACGTTTCGGAAAGTTTTTACTGTGTTATGACTGAAAGGAGTAATCGTAATGTTGATATCTCAAAATCGATGTCTTTTCACTGGGATAATAAAATTGCTAAGGTACAAAGACGGTTTCCATAACGTGGAGGAAAGTGCACATATTTGATTCGCGAACCGCGCAGACGTCCTGTGAGTATCATATATATATATATATATATATATATATATATATATATATATATATATATATATATATATATATATATATATATAAGTCAACGGACTCAGTAATCAAAAAGGTTGTTCTAATGGATGTGGGGTTTAAGCCATTATGAAGCTGTGCGTGTAAATGAGGATCAGCTGTTAAGCACCGATTTTCTTGTTGGAAAAACACATTTCTCCATTGTACTAAAGTATAACTCGAATCGGATAAGGGATATCAGCACACATAATTACCTGGAGTACAGTTTTCATCTCATCGTTGAGCCGAAGTAAATTCTGTAGTTTGTCGATAACGAATTGAAGTTCGTCCTCGAATTCCCTTTGAGAAGAAACCGAGCTGGGCGAGTCACTTTTAGCAGGCTCCTAGAATCAGTAGGGGAAAGTTGCATCATAGAGTATAGCATAATTACAGTTCAAGGTAAGGCTTCGACGACTTCGGAAATGGGTAGCGTAATGTAAGTAGCCGGTTACCAATGAAGAACCCCAATGAGGCCAGAGAAAAAGAGTTGACCGTTGTGTAGCTTTGTATTGGAAACATGCTGCTTTCGTAGCACTGCATCAAGAATTAACAATACAATCAGAAGCGGTTAACCGCACCGGCAGTACGTCGGCACACCGTATAGATCCTTCGCTACCAAGTAGCTACCACAAGTTGTCCCCACCTCTACACGGAAACGAATTGGTGTCCTCAGAACTACAACGCAGGTGCGTAATCATTTCGGTCATTAGCGGTAAACAAAAACCACATGGTGATGAATCACATGGTCATTGGAAAGAAGACAACAACTGAAATGCTGTCCACATTAGTGCAGTAGTGCCAAGGTGCATAAAGTTGGCAACGGTATAGCATCGGCGGCAAACAGTTGTGGGTTTCATAGTACGGTAAACCAACGTTGTACTAGAGTCAGCGCAGGAGTGCGGTATTTACTTCAATGCAGTCACACTGAGACTATGGCAATGCAGCAGATCCGATCACACACATGTTATCATGATAGTGAGGACAAAACAGTGGGAAGCGACAGACGAGCCAAATGCAGTGTTCTTAACGAAATTTCGTTATGCTGTGATGACAGTAAGCTTTATAAAAATGATCGTCAATTATCATAAAGCCGGCTTCGTTGCATTAAAAAGCGTCTATTTTGAGATAATGTGGACATAAATGGAAAATTTGTGTAAGAGGAAAGATTGGATGAAGAAACGAATTAAGCCGATATTCGGCTGACAGAGCGTAATAACGCTGCTTCCCAAAAGAGGGGAAAGATCAGTGATGGAATTGTCTAACGGGATAAATAAACGCCGAGAATAACTTATATGCAGCCCCGAAAGAAAAGACTTGGCACTTTGTTTACTTGCAATTTAACAACTTTTCGTTATCGTAGGTCAACCGCTAGCAGCAGAGAGAAGACGGCCACATAAATCGCTGGTAAAATAAGCATACGCCATACAAGTGATTCACATTGGATGATTGTTAAACAGTGTGCGACAGTCTCAACTAAAACGGCAGTATCTCTTATATATCCATATGAGTACCAAGACCATAAGCCAGCAGGTGTCAGCGCGTGCCACGCTCATAATGAGCTATTTTCTGGTCATCGAGAATCAGTTTAAAACTGTAACTTCCAGTTTGGGAATGCCAATTTCACATGAACAATCTAGTACGTGGGGTCATAAGTATAACGTACCAGCTGGATCACCAGTGCTATAGATTTGCTTCAGAATAAATCCAGCGGATGGAGCAATGATTCCTCAGAGCATCCGTTAGAAGACGTTCAATCATAGGTAAACGCAGTTGTCAAGAAGACAAAGAAAAGTAGGACAAGTAGACACTATTGATGCAGTGGACAATACTTGATCAGCACTGAAACTATGTTCATTGCAATGTGAAGCGGAAATGATGGTGACAACAGAAGCAAAAATATATCTGGTGAATCAGGACCCTTCACAGCGACTAGGTCGCAATCGTCCCGCATCCGCGGATACCCATCAAGGAGTGAGTTGATTGCGGAACGGCGAACAGTTGGTCGACGAAAGCTGAGGATGTGGAGCGGATCGAAGATCACAGAGGGGTGGAGTCGTGTTTGCGCGTGACGTAGACATTTCAGCGGTGACACAAGGCACTACTCACACGTTTGAAGATCATGCGCTCCCGGGATTTCATCCCATATAGTATAAGTTCCTAAGCATACCACCGAGGTGGTTCAAAAGTTCGATAACTCCTTTGTTTTTATTGACAACTTTAAGATGATGATGACGACAAATTAACAGATTGCAGTGGTTGGGGTTCGATGTGTCTGGAAGCAATTCCCATCACGGGTACTGTCGTTATCAGAACCTTGCTACCAGTGCCTACGACGTTGGTGGAATCCGTTTCCACCGCTACCTGTCCAAATAGTCACAAGACACGTGCGCCCACAGAGTAACTACGAGTGGTTAACAATTGTATTACCCATAGGTCTGACCACACACGATATACCGAATACAAAATCGACGAAATGACTGAAGACATGCGGATAGTAGACAGAGAGGACTCGCAGCCGGACCATAGCTCGTTAACAAGCTTACCGCCGATGTAGACCATCGCGAAGAGACTGGACCTTAACCTGATGCGATGGTTTGTATGTCTCAGTGATCCATTGAACTATGCTGCGTGGTGCTTTTTTACACATTAATAGCCACTCATACCAGATTGGTCAATGGTTAGAAGCCAGACAAACTCAGGTTCCCGGCCCTCCAGTTTAGGGATTGGAGAGAGGGTGGCTCCTTAGTCCATAAAACGGGCTCTCTGTAGTCTAGATATAAAACCTCGCTGCCTTGCGGTAAGGTTTTTGGACCAAAGGTTTTCGTTAATAATCCTAATCGTCATCCTGTCTAGGCCTGGCCAACCTCATACTGTGCGGCCCAGGGAATACACCATGACATTTCCTTCTAACAATAATAAACGGAGGCCTATCTGCTGCATCGAGCAGAGTGGACAGGGGTTTTGATGCTACTGCGCATGCCCTGCCCCGTTTGCGCTTTTTCATCCTTATCGTCCAGTTCCAGCTTCACCTACATCCCCCCGTTTTGAATCCCCCAATTCTTGGCCCTCCCACACTCGCTTGAATATCACTTGTCATATAGTTTCAACTCACACACAATCGCAGGAAATCGCTCCAATATAGCCAACAAGTCCGTGTTCAACCAAACGGACAACGTCAGTTCCTCCGTTTTCCTTCGAAGTCCTCGATCCTCGCCAAGAATGGCATACCTCAACGTGCGAACTTTGCTACAGATTTGCTAACAGGCAGCATTTGCCAGAATACTCGAGATCCCATCGATTGATATTTACTGTTTATCGGAAACGCCTGCAAAATTCGAGCTCCGGTCATACCTCGCTATTACTCACATGCGACACTGACGGCGTGTTCTCAATGAGCCTGTTGGCGCTAATGTGGCTTCAACTACGGGTCAAGCTGGCATCGGCATTGGTTTGGGTCCCCGATCTGAAGCTGCCCTGGCCGACTAGATACCTGTCAACAGCCGGATGCGCGCCGTTAAATTGGCTGGCTCGTCCCAAACTGCGAAGTCGCGCGTGGATAAACTGTGCAAGTGTGTCATTGCTACCCACCTACCACCCACAAACTGCAGTACTGATTTGGTGAACGATGGTTATGTAGAAAGTAGAAGCCACGATTAAACTTTGCACAATCATCTGTCTCGACTGGGAATCGAACCACGGACATACGGATTACTGGTCCGGTGCCCTACCAACAGAGCTACCGAGGACTGACGATCAGTTTCGCAATTTACTACATGATTTTTGCTTGGTTCGCGACGTCGAGGCAGATTACTGTGCAAAGTTTAATCGTGGCTTCTACTTTCTACAAATATTACATATAAAACCACCAATAAGCAAAATTTACCATCGCCCTTTGAACATCTGAAGGACGGATACTTCGGTTCATGGGGAAGTGACGAGTGAGTGAGCCAATCTGCAACACGAGCACAGATACTGTGAGCTTATTGGCAATACGTCGCGAACCAAGCAGGAGTCATATATTAAATTGCGCATCTGATCGTCAGTCCTCGGTAGTTCAGTTTGTAGCGCGCCGGACCGGTAATCCGTACGTCCGAGGTTCGATTCCCCCGTCGAGGCAGATGATTGTGCAAAGTTTAGTCGTGACTTCTACTCTCTACATACGTTACATACTCACAAAACTACCAATACTCTAAAGATCGTTATGGCACAAACTTAACGAACTTCGTTGTTACAGAAGGATCACGGATACTGTGGTGATCGTTGGTGATCTAAACGCGCAAGTCTAATAATATCTTTTGATGAGCTACATCTGGGCGGCCAAATTTGTGTAGACGCCCATAATGATAACGGTTCGCGGTTGATACGGCTTCCTTAAGATGTTTGTCACTTTCTCGCAAGTATTAACTTTCGACACAGCACCCGCACCCACCAGCCTCCAATCAGCTATGGCCGCAAATCAATCACATCACGATTAGTTACTGTTGGAGAGGCTGTGTCCAAAACTGTCGCTTGATTTGGAGCACCAACGTGGACTCTGACCACGCACTTCTTTACACCGACCTTCGGATGCATTTCGGCGGACGTTCGCAACATCGTTCTGAGCACATTGATACCATCCAGCTGGCGAAGCCAAGTTTTCTGAATGCGTATCAAAGTATGCTGGTATCTGGGCTGAGTAGACGCTCACTGAACACAATGAAAAATCACTGGTTTCGTATGCGCCAAACATTACTAGCAGCAGACATGTCTTCATGTGGCAAATCAAACTGCCAAACTGGACACTGGGTCTCTACACAGTCTATGGAACATATGGCTACTCGTCGTCGAATTCCGGCTGGGAGTGTATACAATGAGACTCACAAAAATCTCAGGGCAAAACTGTGTGCTAGCTTGAAGGGAGACTGGGAGGCTTGGTGGTCTCATCATACATCGAAAATGGAAACAGCTGCTGCCGATGGTAATCATCGTAAGTTATAACGCCTGATAGGAGAAACAGGCAGCAGGAGACCTAGTGTTAGTGAGGCAATATGCGAGAAGTAGGGTTGCTACATCCCGACTGCCTGGTTGAAGTCCGAAGAACGATCAGTATGTTTTGTTGGCCACACGTGCTGATATAGCGAAGAGCCGACAGCAATGGCTTTTTGTTCTGAGTTTCTTTGTCCATCCCATCCTCTTTAGAATCCCCTCCAATTCCGATCTCAAATGAAATGCAGAAAGTAATATTTGACTGTATGTTAGTTTTTTTTAATATTTTTGGTGTACTTTTTTAATATCTTATCTTATTGTATTGCGGCACATTAGCTAAGGTGTGTTACTCACCCTCAGCTAACGTGTACTGAGGAGGCTGACCGAGCTAGAACTGTGGAACACATGAGCAATGGACAGCCGCTGGGTGGTCCTCCTTTGCTTGATTGAGCCGTCGTTCGAGCCTAGAGCGATTGCTAAGACGGTGCATCTTGATCCCTCAGTAATCTGTGCCAACTGTGGGATACCTTAAGGAGGGTCAACAAAGGACTGGTAGGTATAAACACTGAATATCAAAAACAAAGAGAGAAAGTTGAGAGTGCACGAATGCGGAATAACGTTACTTTTTACTGCATATGTTTAGCATATTACAGTTGTGCAACGTCCTATTCAGGTGTGTTGTGCTCGTTAAAGCTGTAATCTTCAAAGCGGGTGTTTAGGAGTTCCTTGTATCTTAACAACAATTTTGTCTGAACTGCTGTCCCTGGCAAACGGTTGTACTAGTGTACTTCTCGACGCAGATGTCCGATACTTAAATATTGTGCCGGTGCCCTGTGTACTGTTTGGTACGCGTATGGGCAGCAGGGGTCTTAGCATAGGGAAGTTAACCGAAAATACTAGCACGTGCTCCATTATGCAGTGAACTGAAAACCGAGGATACCATAGGCTTCACGCAGTTCAGTCTCCTGAATCGGTCTTCGCACGACCCACCCCGTATGCTGGGAATGCGCCTGATAGCTACATTCTGCTTTTGTACCTTACCATTGGCTTTGTGATGGAGAAGAGGAGACGATTGGTAATCGCGCTAAACCATGCTTAGAAGTTGCGTTCGAGCGCCCAAAGTATAAATAAAGATTGTATTCGCAAATCCAGCGAGGCGCACCAAATCAGACATGATCAATACTAAGCTGGCAATTATGTTTCGTAATAGGCACGTTGCTTTGCATGAAATGTGCTGATTGCACAATATAGTATAGTTAATGAAATGCGAGTTGTAATGGTCAGCAACAAAATCTTTAGTGATGTGGCGACTGCCTGGGTTCAGTAGCATGTGTTGTGGAGATCAGCGGTACATCCTTAATGTGTGGAGTGGTGACGCAAAGTACAGACAGTGAAGTATCTCTTTAGTCTACGTATCAAAACAATGTGTGAAATGTGGCTCTAGTTAAGCTTCCAGGATAAATATGTTGGCAATAACTTTATGCAGTGGGGAGTCACATTCGCCACTGATATGCACTGTGCACACTGCAATCACTGAGCTGACCATGCGACCTTGCTTGGTGGCGAAAAGCATGCAACCTTATTGAAATCGTCAACAGAAGAAGGCATTTGGTATGCTACGGTTTTGGTTACGTAGTATGTTCATGCCCAATTTGCACGATGACACGAGTCATACTGCAGTCCAGCATATCCGACCTATCGGGTTGCTACCTCGACGTATCCACAAAAATAAAACACCGATCGCACCTTCTTTGTAATGCAGATTCGCAGATGAAAGCCGCGAACCGTCTGTTTACCGATTCGATCGAGAACTCCCTATGCACGGAAACAGACGGTGGATAATGCGGGTTCTATAACCGTTGCATGTCTGTTGTAACACCACCACCATCACCACCACCACCACCACGCGACCCGAGGCAAAACCTGATCCCTGTAAGAATGCTAGTAAGACGGTGTTGCGATAGCATACCACGAGGCGAAGGAGGTGACTCGTGAAGAGAACAAAACTGCGCGTCATTAAACGGACCTGCATTGGCCGATTTTTTACGACACTGATGGCGGATTGGAAGAACCAACCAGAGCCGCGTTGGAAAAATAGTAGAGTGCACGGCGGGATCCGATTATGAAACCTGTTGCGATCCTATGGACGCGAATCCAATGCGGAAGGAACATGCACGGAAAACTGAACACTCACAACGAAATCACGGCACAGAATCACCAAATGCAACAGAAATCCGATGCCAGACTATAGTCCCAATCCCGGAAGGAAAGAATACAAGACCTCAGACACGAGATCTATTCACACGCCAACACAGAACAAAAAAAAGCAATGGAAACTCATGTTTGATTTAGGTAACTCCACGGCCTTGCCATATCAGCCAATCACTGTGCTCGTTTAAAGCGGGAACAGAGAGCGCACACCGTGGCGAACAATATGTCCATGGTTGTGATTGCTTCTAGTGTTGTTCCTGGGAAAAATGGCTTTTTCCCAACCTTCTGCTACTTGGATCGTCCGAGGTGCGCTTACTAGAGCAGTGAAACGGCCAGTGACAATGACAGTGGGATTGTCCTACTGAGTGCATGCGACTCACAAACAAAGGAATTAATTTGCAGTCTCGTGCCTACAGAGAAGAACTAATTATCCTGGTCTCTAATCACAACAACGTAAAATAGCGTTTTAAGTTCCCCACTAGTGCACAGAGTGAGAGGTAATCAACTACCTGCTTCGTAGCCGAAATTCGGAACTTTATGAAAAATTGTGATTTCGGCTACTAGTGAAGGGGCATAATTAAGGAACACCTGGTGGTTGGGGTGAAAACGTTCTCATTCAGCACTGTATGCTGGTTGAGAACGCAGTGAGATCGAATACTTCCTATCGTGTTGTCACTGGCTTCGGGGATGAAGAATACAATGCGAAAGTTTGGTAGAATTTTTGGCTAAATACAAAGCCATGAGCTGAATAGTACCCACTAGAAGTCAACGGAATAAATAAAAATACCAGGCATTCGTTCAGCTGCTACCCGTGTGGCTTTCGGTACAGCCATCCCAGCGGGTGTACTCTGACATGTTGTACCAAATGCTAAAAGTGAAGACTTTTGATCCGTATTTGTCAGTTTAGTGCAAACCGATATTCCCCGGTTGCAGACAACTAAATTTTGGCCACTGTACAGCAGGAATATAAAGTAAAGTAAAGCCTCTGCAAGTTGAGCACTCAGTGGACTTGACCAAAGTGATAGACATACAGCGGCCTGGATACGTATGGTTTACATGTTGAACGGTCAGGCAGTGAAAAATAAAACGGCCGACTTGCAGAGGTGGTTGGGATCTAGAGGTGAGCGGCCTCGGAGATCTTATTGTATTTACAAATACACCACATGCACAGCCATCCTTGTGTATACAGCTTTGTGTTAATCAGACTCCGTGAATTACAAAACTGTCTAGAGCAGTGTTGCAACGCTGTGTAACGGACGAACTTAGTCGTAAAGATTAGTCCCGACAACCATCAGAAGGTCCTGTCTGGCGCCCCTGCGACTGCATGCTTACATGAATTGTGAAATGAAAGTGCTGGAGATGAAGGCCGTTGGGTTGCATTTGGAGAGTCGATAACCAGTGGAACCCTATGGATCGCATACGGAGATGGTCCAAACGGATCAATCCTCTTCCGGTTCCGCAGATAAATCATCTATCCTTATCCTCAGAGCTATAGACGCTACTCCGGTAGAAATACGCACTAGTTTTTAGGGCAAAAGAAACAAATTTCACCGCCATATGGTTGGCGGAATCCGCTATCGGATTTACTTGTCACTGTGGCCTCAACAAGGACAGCCACAGGACGCCTGCGCTTACAGAGAGACCATGGGTGGCTTGCGCTGCACCACCCACAGTTCCATCCACACACCCCATATCCAGTGTAAACCCGAAGGAATAAGACCGGGAGGCATGCGGATGGGAGCCAGGTTTCATCAACTGAGCCGGCCCACACTCCTTCACAGGCAAACACAAGCACGCTGTATTTGGGAATCAATCGCACACAAGGCTGTGGCTGGACCGTAGTCCGCTCCACACTGAGTGCATGGAACCACTCTTCGAGCCCAGCAAGACCACAAAGACCGTGCACCAAGTCACCTCCAGCAATGACCAGCTGTCTCCTGGAGCCAGTATGGACAAGGTAGGGGCTAATAGACAGGTAGGCACCTTATCAACATGCACATCAAGCGCCGACACACCGCGGATATCAAGAAACAGGCAATAACTTAAAATATCATTATCCAATAAAATAGGTCAAAGGGTACGGCTATGCAGACATTTCGCTAAATTGGCCTATGAATTAAGTTGGTTAGCAATGAAACCGCGATAACTACAGAATGTCCATAAGTTATTCAACAAATTGCTACAAATGCAATAAATTTAATGAAGATAACCACAATTAGCGTAAGCATCTTGTGTAGGTTAAAAGAAAATTATTCAGGTAGGCGGAACAAACCAAATAAATTGGAATGAAAGTTACCCAACTTAAAAAGACCTAGTTTAAGTGTACGTTGGTTTAGCCCAACTGCGGTTTGGAAGCATCATGAATGCAACATCAGCCTCAACATGGGGTACGCACCTGTGAATACATTGATATTTACATGCCACAAAATGGGATGCCTGCACGTGCTGGAATGTGTAGAACTTCCTGTCATGTGCGCACCTCTTACGTGTGGTAGTGTCAGTTTCAAGAGCAGCAAACCGAGCCTCTTCGTCCTCAACCGATGCTCGCGAACATAAGCATAGAAAACATGAGTTTATTGACATCTTGTTGCTAGTATACGAGCAGGGCTATAGGACCCGCCGTTATCTATACTGCGCACTTGATATCTGTTGACACTGACACACTGATGTTCAGCTTATATCGTCGGGTAGTGAAATCAGTCATGATGAGCTCGGAATCCCATGTAAATCCGGAAACTAAGGTTCTAGGTCCAAAGTGAGGTCAATTCAGACGACGAATAATAAGAATAATAACAATAATCATACTAATAGCCTTATTGATGGTAAATGTAGATTGATGCGATGCACCATGTGATCGGGCTCGATATGATTAGGTGGTGGCAACGGAATATTGCCAAAATAACTAACGGTGTTGTTACACTGTGTGACGATAAACTCCAAGCATATGCGTACCTGTTTAATGAATATGGTCAACATCCTCTTGGAAGCCCACGAAGTGGGTGGCATCGCAGCGATCCAATGCAGTAATGGTTTATGATGGGCCTATAAGCGAGTGCTGGACAAGACCTATCGGATGGTCAGGATGACATTTACAAAATAGTGTCGATTAAAGAACCTGTGACTGCTCGAGGGATTTAAAGCAGCAGAGGTGCCAGTATTCCTACTTGAAGTTTAGGATGGTTGTGACACCGTGTACTGTGTGTTCCGCACTAATGCCATTTTCTGATTGTCATAAACTATCTCGAGGAGTCCCCTGGCGGAGCTGTACGCTATCGAGCGCGTCCCAAGGTTGCGGATCGGAGGTCTTCCTTGTGGAGGTATCTGCGAATAATTCTTGTTTGCTTTACAGGCGTGATGAATAAGCAGTCGCGGAGAATCAGCGTCAACATCGCAGAGCGTGTGGAGTTCTCGGCTGGTCACCTGGTTCTCCATTAAATACCACAAGTGCTCGTACGGCGCTGTGTCAAAGCCAATGTGACCAGGTCACTGACCACTCACTCCTGTAACTGGGAGTGAGTATCTAACGGAGGGCGAATGAACAACCTCGCTGGCCCCCGGCTTCTCTGTGGACTGCTTCCGAACACAAAGAAGGCGAATGAGACAATTAGCTGTCAATGCTCTTCGTGAATCACCCCACTGCCTTGCACGTCAGGTTTTAAGACCAAAGACTCGGAGTGGAGTCCCTTAAGTCAACCCTCTTCCTCGGCCTGGGCAACCGGGAAGCTCAATGCCCACATAACACATGGAACTTTACTTCCAGTCCTCTTAACCTTTATTGTTTTTGTTAATCATGTGTTGTGGCAACCAGCCAAATGTTTATTAGGCAGGCGTTAAACATATAAATACATAAATAAAAGAATATGTATATATATCGCGTAGTATAAATATGTCAGGATATCGTCAAGGGATTTCTGGAATAGGGGTAATGTGGTAGCTTTAATTACATGTGCTGGTAGGGTATTCCAGGGCTGTGACACTCGGAGAGAAAATAGTTTGTCCACTTTCCGGTCGGCTATACTGCGTGGCCCATTTACACTGGTGACCCATTAGAGACGTGTTTTGAATGTGTTTCAGTAAAGTGTGGCACATGTGTTTGGGGATTTTGGGATCTGCTACGCCATTTTTGGACCTTCCTGTAGACGTCGAAAACGTCCATTGTACATTGGTAAAGTACTCATCAAGAGTGGGTAGAGAAGGCGAGACAAATCACTGACGTCTTTTGTCACCCAGTTTTGTGCAGTATCGAGCGCGGTGCGGTGGTGATTTTTTTCAGAGTTGCCACGCTTGGATGCAGTATTCCGTGTGGGGCCTAACGCACGCAGCAAGCATTTTCAGAAATACTACGGCGTCAAACTTCCAGAACGCTCTACGGAAAAGGCAGCACTGCTGGCTTCATTTCATTGGTGCCTTTACAGTTGGCTTCAAACAACCAAGTTTATCTCGTACGGACACGTCGAGCTGGCACTCATGAGAAAACCAGTGTCAAATAGCTGTCACGCACTCATAATTGCGCATTTGGCTGTGTTGAACTGCAGTTTATTCTCGATAGACCATGTGTACGCTTTGTCCAGGTCATCCCGTAGAGCTGTGTGATTCTGCACTACAGCAATAGTAAGCCATATCTTTAGATCATCGGAAAATACTAAGCAGTTTGTAGATAGCAACCTCTCGTGATACGCGAAGCCAGAGTACCGAGATCTGAGGTGCGCTGCACTGCATTTCGAATGGTTTCCATAGAATGCTGCGCACCCTCAAATTCAGGTGAGGCCGAAAGAGAAAGTCGCCTATCCAGTGCAGAACGGGATCGTCAATCTCGCTACTCTGGATTATGTGCAATAGAATGCGATTGTGCTGTCAGTCGAATGTCTTTGAGAAATCCACGTAGGTTGCATTAAATTCCTAGACCAGTGTCCACAAGTTCCGTTCCGCTTGCAAGAGCTATTAACAGCTTAGTAGTGTAGGATTGATTTTGGTGAAATCCGTGCTGCTCCGGAACAAGAATTGTGTTACTCTCCAGATATTTCATGCGTACCTCAGAAACATTGGACTCCATGATTTTGATGATCACCGGAATAAGTGTTATTTGACAATAATTCGTCGGTTCTGCATGGTTATCTCTCTTGTAGGTTGGAATGAAGATTTCGTGATTCCACATTGTGAAGACTTGCATCATATTATTACATTGATAGATGTATCTTGCTAACGGTTCAGCCAAAATTATGGCTGAAACTTTCAACGTCTTCGGGTGAATGTCATCCGCAACCTGGGAGCAGTACTCGAACAAGGACGTCAGCTGTTTCAGTACACCTGTGTTTGAAAGGGTATTGGGTTAGGGCCGGATGACGGCATAATCTGGGTAGGTAGGATGTAAGATGAGTGTACACTTTGGAAGGTCCTGCCAAACTGCTGTGCAATTAGGTTGGTCGCCTCTTGAATCGTTTGTTCCAACCCGCGTGCTGTGTGTAGAGCAGGAATTCCGCGCCTAACCCGATGCATTTTATTCACGTCTCTG